GGCGGGCTTGCGCTGCGCAGCCGCTAGCCAGGGTCCGGCGTGGGCACCCAGAGAGCCCGCGCACCGGAAAGTTGCCTCCTGCAGCCTCGGGGGGCGCTGCGAGCTGCAGGACGCGCTGCCAACGCCACACGCGGTGACTGGGCAGGCCCCAGGGTTCGCGGAAGGGTGACACCCCTGGGAATTCGTCGTGCCAAGTTGGCCACAGCCTCCGCAAGCCCGGGCCCGTCCCCCTGAAAGTGCCAACCCAGCACCCGCACCAGAGCTGTCGCCAGGACGTGACGGTGAAACGTGCTGAAACTTGGCACGTGGACCTGATGCAAACCGGCTGAAAGTGATCCGACTTTACAACAGAGCCCATATTCTAATCTGTGCCTTAAAAAAAAGAAGCTTTTCTTCCCGTCCTTACATCTATCGTTGGCAGTGTACAGTTTATGTTCTGTAATATGCTGTAATGATTTGTAAAGGAGCTTTTTTAACACGCTAATACCCTTCCCCATAAATATTTCTAAACATTGTAAATGGAGGTCTACACAAGGCATGTCGATGCTGTAAGAAGTTGTCATAATTCATACCAGAGAAGGATCCTGAATCACGTGACCACATACACTCATGAAAATTAGAGTTCCCATCAAAGGCTGCCATCTGAGAAAAGGAAAGTATGTTCCTAGTGAAAGTGAAACTTTGCAAACATCAAATGAAGGGGATCCATTGTGTAAACTGGTAAACAGAAATGAAGGCTAGGGTGGTGCTTCCTCCATTTACGCCTACATGAATCTCTGGTAGGAAAATTAGGCAGGATTCTTTTTGTCTGGATTTATTTTTTTAGAGGTTTTTACTATAGGGCGCATGCGCTCGCCAGACAGAGAGAGACAGAGAGACAGAAAGCAAGAAATCACTCCCCAGGGGGGATGGCCAAACCGCAATCCCTTCTCCATTCTCCTCCCGGGATCTTGGGCACGCATGCACACACACCGCGCCCGACGTGAGTTTTAAGCCACTGGGTCCGGGAGGAGAACCGAGGTCAACTACGTGGGAGTTCAGCGACATAGCTGCTATGCTAACTGCTGGTCCCTGTCTGGATTTTTTTAAAGTGTTGTTCGTTTGTCTTTAGCTATAGGATGTCTGTGTTCACTGGAGAGAGAAAGATACTGGCAGGCGATGTGGTGGTTAAGGTACTGAACTCCACGGTTCGAGTCTGGGACCTGGTAGCTTACTTTTCCCTCTGGTCAAATTGAGAAAAAAAAAAAGTAATAATACATAAAATTAAATAATTATTTTAGAGAGAGAAAAAGGGAATATGAGAAATCACAGGGGTAGAGTTGGGCGGTGGGGAAGACCACGCTGCAATTCTTTCTCCTCCACTCTCTCCTTTTGGGATTTTGAGAAGGCATGCACTGTCCAATGGAAGACCACACTGCAATTCTTTCTCCTCCACTCTCTCGTTTTGGGATTTTGAGAAGGCACGCACTGTCCAATGGAAGACCACGCTGCAATTCTTTCTCCTCCACTCTCTCCTTTTGGGATTTTGAGAAGGCACGCACCGTCCAATGTGACTTTCAGGCTGATGATGCAGGCCTCAGTGAAGTCAGTCTTGTGGGATCCAGCTACCTTAACCTCCACACCACCTGTTGGCCTTCCTCTGGAATTCTGAATTCTGTCTTCCATCTCTTCGAACCTCACATTTATATTTTCCACAGCCCAGTTCTCTGGCTGTATTCTGACCCATTTCAGTTGTCCTTTCCACTCAGGGATTGTTTCGTAGTTCTTTTGAATCTGCCTTTTAATGCATTTATGCTAGGCAGAAAAGTGGTCTTCCCAGTGATGCCCATGTCCTAAACCTAGAACCTGTGAAGCTGGTAAAGGGGAACTAAGGCTGAAGATGAAAGCAAGGTTACTAGTCAGCTGACCCTGATGTGGGGAGACCATCCTGGGTTACCGAGGTGGGCCCAGCATCATCACCAGTAAAGAGTGACAGAGAGGGAGACGCGGAGATGGCAGCCAGAGGACTCAGCCAACACTGGTGACTGAAGAAACAGTGGTGAGACTATGCACACCAGGTAGCCACTGGAAATGGGAGGGTGAGAAACTGAATTCCTCTGTGCGCCTCCAGAAGGAATGTGGCCCTGCCCACACCAACAGAGTCGAGATACAGAATGTTCCTTCACGCTGCCCTCACAACACCTCCCACCTCCCGACGTTCTGGCATCCCCGAATCTGTTACCATGCCTATCCATTTTTCATTTCAAGAATGGTAGGGAAGAGGCCAACAGGTGGTCTGGTGGTTAAGGGCGCTGGACTCCCACATGGCTAACCATAGTTCAAGTCCCAGACCTGGCAGCTTGTTTTCTGACATTCTCTCTTTGCCCTTCTCTGGTCAAATTAAAATAAATAAAGTTAAATAAAATAATTCTTAAAACAAAAAGAAACTAAACACACAGAAAAATAAAAAGAATGGTAGGGAAATAAAATACTACAAAACCTAAAGTTTTGGGTTAGTTTTATTTTCCTCCTTTTTTAAAAAAAATTTTATTTATTCATTCATTTCATTTTAGTTTGACCAGAGAGAGATGCAGAACGAGAAAGAGGGAAAGTGAGAAAGCAAGCCGCCAGGTCCGGTACTTCAACTGTGGTTGGTCATATGGGAGTGTCCAGCACCTTAACCACATCACCTGCTGGTCCCTTTTATAATTTTTATCATAGGGTGTGTCCACTCACCAGAGAGCAACAGAGAGACAGTGAACAAGAAAGTGAGAAGTCACACACCAGGGGAGATAGCCACACCACAATCCTTTCTCCTCCATTCTTCTTAGGATTTTCGGGCATGCACACACATGCGCCTGGTAGTTTTCCAAGTCCTCTGGTCCAGGACTAACCACAGTCAGACGTGTGGGATCCAATTACCTTAAGCACCACACTGTAGGTTGGTCTTAGTTTTTCTTTCTTTTTTTTTCTTTTCCACTCAGGACCCAGGTCACTGCTTGTATCGATAGTCCTTTCCTTCTTATTGTGGAGTAGTGGAACAGTAACCACGGTATGGATTTCTGTTTGTGAACGAAGCTCTTACAGACATTCATATGTGTGTATATGTATTAATATACATTTTTATTTCCCTTGGGTAAACGCCCTGGGATGCAACTGCTGGGGCAGTTTCTTTTTTCTTTTTTTTTTTTTTTGAAGAGGTTTTTGCTATAGGGTGTGTGCACTCACCAGACAGACAGAGACAGAGAGACAGAGAGTGAGAACTCACCCCTCAGGGGGGATGGCCACGCCGCAAGCCCTTCTCCTCTCGGGATCTTGGGCACACATGCACATGCACCCGGCGTGAGTTTAAGCCACCGGGTCCGGGACGCGAACCGTGGTTGACTACATGGGAGTTCAGCGACATAGCCATTACGCTAACTGCTGGTGCTGGGTCAGTTTCTTAAACTGCCAGACTATTTATTGAGTTGCTGTACCATTTTACATTCCCACCAGTAACCAGATGAGTGATTTTCATAGCACCCTTACCAGAATTTGGTGTTGTCACAGCCATACTGATAGGTGTGTAATTTCTGTTTGGCTTTTGTTTTTAGATATTTTGCTATAGGGCATGTGTGCTCACAGGAAAGATACAGTGAGTTATCACTCCTCAGGGGGATGGCCCATTGCAATTCTTTCTTCCTCCTCTTCTCAGGATTTTGATACGCACATACAAATACCCAGCGTGAGTTTTCCGGGTCAAGGACTCGAACTGTGGGAATTCAGTGATGTGACCATTACGCCATCTGCTGGTCCTTCATTGTGGTTATAAGTAGCTGATGATGTCGAACATGTTTTCTTCTGCTTACTTGCCATCTGATCTGGGTAAAATATATCTTTTTTTTCTCTCACAGGAAGTGGTTTATGGCTTGTAAAACAAAATAAGGTGCTTTCAAAACATTTTTTAGTAAAGAAATATCTGTAGAACTGTAGACCTCTTCTAAAATACTATCTGGTCAGCTGAAGCAAGCATTTCCCTTCCAGAGGAAGTGCCTGGGCTGGGCAGCTGCACAGCCCCAGAGACGGCCCGCTGCTCAGAAGTGGGGCCTGTGCTCGCAGGGTGTACTGGGGGTTGGTCAGACCTCCCTGCCCTGACACCTGTGCACTTCTCCAACACCCACTTGGCTTCCTCACCAACTGGCACCTCATGGTCCTGAGGAACCCTCTCATGAGTGAAGGTGGACTCCCTGGCCTTGACTCCGTCCTGATTTTCATTCAGCCCCTTTGCTTGGGTTGAAGGCCCAGCAAACAGAGGTAGTTCTTTGCTTTGGCACTGTTGACCTAGTCTACCTCCATGCTGTCAGTGAAGCCAGCCTCGGTGGCCTGGGTCGTGGTCAGTTCACCTGCTCCGAGTTCTCAGGGTACACCTGTGGGACAGCTCTGTCTCCACAGACAGGAACAGAACAGGCATAAAGGGGAGTACAGGCGCTTGGCAGGTGTGTCAGACTTCTTGTTAGCATGGCAGAGCCCCCGCACAGTGGAAATGCTGATACCACCATCAAAGGAACTGGCTTGAAAGGGATGCCCAGAAGCAGGTCTCCCTCCGTGTCTTGGTCTGAGGCTGCATCCGGCATCGTAGGGCTGATGTCAGTGGCCACCCCACCCAGTAGTGCCCAGCATTTGAGAGTCTCCTCCCAGCCCAGAACCACATCCAATATCCAACAGGTACCAGGGCTCAGCCTCAGGCAGATAAAGGGGCCCCAGTGCTCACCCCGCCATCTTGGTCTGGACATAGATCATGCGTACATGGCAAACATATTTCTAGGCTTTGTTCTTGTCATAAACAGCTCTGGGGCCCAGAGCCGTGGTCCCATCTCCAGCCGGAGGACATCCTCACTCTTCAGCGACGTGCCTAGCTGTAAAGCGTATCTTCGTGCCTCTCCATTTTCTAACTGGATTCTTTACCTTTTCACTGTTCAATTTTAAGAGTTCCTATATGTGGCTTGCAAATTTTTTTTTTTTGACTCCTAGCTTGTTCTTTCATTCTATTTATTAGTTTTTTCACAAAGGATAATTACGACGAAGCCCAATTTATTGATTTTTCCTTATATAGATACTTTTAGTGTCAACTTTGAAGAACTCCTTGCCAACCCCTAGATCTAAAATGGCTTTTTTCCCCCTAAGTTTTATAGTTTTGTGTCAGACATTTAAACCCATGATCCATTTCAGTTAATTTTTTAAAGAACGAGACTTAGGGAAAGGTTAAATTCTCCCTTTCTTTCCTTTTTTTCGCATCATTTATTGGAAAGGACCTTCTTTCCATTAAATTACCTTTGTACCTTGGCCAAAAGTCAGTTTGAATATTTATATATTTGTGTAGGTCTGTTTCTATTTTTGTGTTCTCTGTTCTGTTCCACTTATCTATACATGGGGAGGGGAGGTCCTACAAAAAGTTCATGGAAAATGCTTAGAAAAAACCCACAAACTATGGGGGGACCAACAGGTGGCATGGTGGTTAAGGCGCTGGACTCCTACATGGCTGACTGTGGTTTGAGCCCTGGATCCAGTGCCCTATAGCAAAAATCTCTCTCAAAAACAAACAAAAAAACTATACTTATTTTGTTTTTGATAATTTCAGTATCTTAAAATCTTGGCAATCTAATTTTTTTAACAAAAGTTTGTTTTAAAACACATCTAATTTTTTTTTTTTTTTTAAGATTTTTGCTATAGGCACTTGTGCTTCCCGGAAAGACAGACAGAAAACAAGAATCACCCCCCATGGGGATGGTCACACTGCAATCCCTTCTCCTCCATTCTCTTCTAGGAATTTTGGTCTTGCATGCACATGTGCCCAGTGTGAGTTATAAACTGCTGGGTCCAGGACTCCCAACAGTTGGCTATGTGGGAATCCAGCGATGTAACCATTACACCATCTGCTGATCCCTGAATCTAATTTTTTCTGCTCTCATTCATGATGTATCATATTCCCTATAGCTTTGTAAAAAATTTTTGAGAGATTTCTGCTATAGGGCATATGTATTCCCCAGAGAGAGAGACAGACAGACAGAAAGTGAGAAATCACCTCCAGGTGGATGGCCACTGGCCATGATATAATCCCTTCTCCATTCTCCTCTTGGGATTTTGGAAACAAACACGCACGCACACACACACACATGCACACCCACCGTGAGTTTCAAGTCAATGGGTCTGGAACTTGAACTGTGGTCAGCCACGTGGGGGTCCAGCACCTCAACCATTATGCCACCTGCTGGTCCCATAGCTTTGAAAATTTCTAAAAAATTAATTTTTCATTAAAAAAGTAATTCTAATTACTTTATTAGTTATTATTATTTTTTAACTTGATGAGAGAGAATTGGAAAGCAAGCTGCCAGGTCCAGGACTCGAACAGCAGTCGGCCATGTGGGAGCCCAGTGCCTTACGCATGATATCACTTACCGGCTCCAGTTTAGAAAATTTTAAGGGAAATCATGAGGACCTAAATTAGAATTGCTTTCTTCAGAAGGAATTTGCACCTACTCTTCTTGGGAGGCACTGGGGCTACCAAGTAGGGGCCACTGAAGTCCTCTCCCAGGGTCCTGCTATCATGCAGGATCTCAGGTTCGGGTTTCCTGTCCCGCAGTAGGACTACTCCAGGACTGGCAGTCTAGTTCCAGGGCTATCCTTAGCCTTTGTACCCATAGACATAAGGGCAATATCCTTTCTTTCTTTTTGTAGGGAAGCGATTGGTAGACCTTGGCAAACTTTCGTCATTTCTTGCAAGACTGGGAATGCTTTTCAAGAACTATGGCTGTCAGTTTACCCAGATTCTGGTTGTATTGTGGTCAAAGGGCCAAACCCACTGGTAGAAAGGAAAATCTTTACATAAGACATTTACTATGACCCTGAAAACAACTGGAAAAACAGAATTATCCATGATACCCAGGTCTCTGTGAAAAGGCCAGGCACGACGGGTTTACCGTGAGCATTTTGCATTCTCTACTGAAAGTTGTCCTTTTGGGTGAGATGAGATTCAAATCATCAGTTCTTAGTACCTACAGCCAAACTGAGCCCTGTTCGCTATGTTACCGTCACTGACAGACTCGGTCTTCGTCGCAGGAGTTAGGCACTGGGAGGAAACTAGAATACTGGAGGGTGTACCGGACAATAACAAGGTGTGACAGCTGTGACCCATGCTGTAACCTGTGGGCTAGGCTTCAGCCTCACTACAGAATTGCAGCTGTGGCCTGAAGACTGCTTCTGTCACCTTCCCCAAGAGAACAAAACAAATGTTTATTTTATGCTCCTGCAACTAGCTCATTTTCATTCCAGCTTGGAAGATATAACTCACTGTATTGCACAGAGACTCGAGAGATTTTCTGATGACCAGTATTGCTTTATTCATGACTCTTCTTTCCTCTATTTATTCAGCAAGTAAATTTAAGAAGCTCACCATTTTCTCTCTTTCTTTAGTTTTTTGCCATAGGGTGTGTGTGCTTGCCAGAGAGAAATAGAGAGTGAGAAATCACCCCCTGAGGGGGGACAGCCACCTCACAGTCTGTCTCCTCCATTCTCCTCTCGGGACTTTGGGTATTACTAAGACACCGGGTCCAGTGGTTGAACTGCAGTCAGCCATGTGAGAATCCAGCACCTTAGCCACCACACCCCCTGCTAGTACTACATCACCATTACTTGCTAAGCCAACAATCAAGTGGTAGCTACCCCCCCACAAAACATTTTTCCTTTCATAATTCTGACTTTTTTCTTGGACATCAGAAAAGTCATGACATATTTTTCTGGTTTTCCATGCAAAAATGTGTCATGAGTTTTCTGACAACCCAATATTTAAGATCCCGTTCCAAGGATTGCCCGGCACACCTTTAATTCTTTAATAACAATAATGATGGCTGATATTGATTATGTGTCAGGCTCAGTCCTAAGCTCAGGACATATATTTACTCATTTAATTCTCAAAACGGTCCTAAGATACAGGTGTTTTGATGATCCTTACCCTACAGATGAGGAAACAGAGGCTCAGCGAATCACACAACCCAAGTATCGCAGAGAGGGATGGAAGTGACGGCTACCTGGCTCCAGAATCTGAGCAGAATTCTCCAAAGCCAAGACCAGATCCAGAAACGTGCTGATCTGAGTCTAACAAAATGAAGTGGAGTACTTTACAAAAAAAAAAAAAACAGGTTAAAGAATACGTTTACACTTCTACAAACAGTATACCATCTTTCCAATTTTCAAAACTTTATTACCAACTCTCTCTGCAGTTCGCTTACTCTTATTAAGCTGATTTAAAAAAAAAAATTCCCAGACAGAGCAATTCACCAGCACCATCAAGTCGACTTCTAATCTATCATTTGTCACAGAGCAAGACACTTAAGATCAACTCAAGAAAACTACTTTAAGTGTCCACATCCATTTGTCACGCATTCCAGGGCCTCACAGCCCCCTTAATTGCCTCACTCCTAACCCAGTTTCTTTTTACAATCTGAAAACAAGAAATAACCCCAATGAAATAGCCCTTCACAATATGGTTGAAAAATAGATTAAAAATGGAGATATTCCAGGTCCTATTCTCAAACATTAAAAATATTTTATATTAGCACATAGAATATCCTTAGATATAATCTGTTCTTTTTTAAAAGAATTATTTATTTATTTCTTTTTAAAATTTGCTATAGGGTATATGTGCTCACCAGAGAAAGAAAAAGTGAGAAAGCAAGCCACCAGGTCTAGGACTCGAACCGCAGTCAACCACATGGGAGTCCAGCGCCCTAACCACCACGCCACCGTCCAGTCCCATAATCCATTATATTCTAATGAGCTTTTGCTTCCCCCTTATTGATAATGTCTTCAATTTCTTCTGAGACCTTTCCTTTATAGTCATTTGGTTTTATTGCTTTTAACTTCTTTTGATACTCCATTGGCAAACCATTTTCTTTTGCACCCATGCAAATAACCTAGAAATGGTTAAAACAAACAAAATATTGCTTTTAGTTAGAAACATAATTTAAAATATCACAGCTTTGCATGATCAAAGTATAAAACAGTAGCTTTCAGATGACTCTGAAGTATTAGGTTGTTGGAAAAGTCATGATATATTTTTCTTTGCAAAAATGCATCATAACTGGGACCCGCGGATGGTGTAATGGTTATGTCACTGGACTCCCTTGTACTCGACCACAGTTCAAGTCCCAGACCCAGCAGCTTAAAATTCACATCGGGTGTATGTGCTCGTACCCAAAATTCTGAGAGGAGAATGGAGAAGGGATTGCAGTGTGGCCATCACCCCCAGGGGGCTGAGGGGGGGAGTGATTTCTCGTTCTCTGTCTTTCTGTCTCTCTAGTGAGCACACGTGCCTTGTAGCAAAAATTTTTCTTAAAAAAAATCGTGACTTTCCCAATAACCCAATAAATAAATACAGTCACATTCATCTCACACTGAGCATGAATGCATAGGAAAACATATGAAGCCGCCCCAAGGAGCAGCAATTTACTAATCTGACTTAAAATATTTTATAATAAGATAAAAATAGATCTTATTGTACAGTTTGCATGATCTTTTAAGATAAAACATGATTCTTCAAAAAATTTTATGGTTTATAAAGGAAGCAGTTTTGATTTCAGTCTGAGTCTTTTTTTAAAAAAAGAATTATCTATTTAATTTTCTTTACCATCATTATTATTGTTACTTTAAAATGTATTACAGGGCACATGTGCTCACCAGAGAGAGAGAGAGAGAAAGTGAGAAAGCGAACTGCCAGGTCCAGGACTCAAACCACAGTCAGTCATGTGGAAGTCCAGCACCTTAACCACCACGTCACCTGCCGGCCCCCCAGTGTCTATTCGTGATCTGAATTAGACATTAGGGAATAATTTGCAACTGTGTTCAGTGGCACTTTCAAGATGCATATCAGGTTATTTTCTCTAGGCATCATAATAGAAAATTCCAGGTTAGGCCCAGGAGCTGGGATGTCCACTATGGGTGTCATGTCGATGGGGCCTGCCAAGGAGTACCAAAATTTGGATTTCTGAAAAGGGATGTTGGAGTCTCTAGCCCACATTCGTCTTATGCCTGTGGTTTCACCGATTTAAAAGCTGCTGACGTTTCTTTCTCTATTTAGGGATAGAAAACATTCTAGCAGTAGAAAATGCATTTTTCGGGACTAGCAGTTGGCACAATGGCTGTTGCTGGACTCCCATGTAGTTGACTGTGGTTAGAGTCCCGGATCCGGTGGCTTAAATTCACGCCAGGCATGTGTGCGTGCGTGCCCAAGATCCCGAGAGAATGGAGGAGAAGGGATTGCGGTGTGGCCATCCTCCCTGAGGGGTGATTTCTTGCTTTCTGTTTCTCTGTCTCTCTCTGTCTTTCTGGTGAGTGCATGGGCCCTATAGCAAAAACCTCTCAAAAAAAAAAAAAAAAAGGCATTTTTCCCCACAAAAGTGGTGCTTTGTATTCAAGAAATACTCTTTGGTGGAGGACAAAAATGACAAAAGCATGTGCATAGACTAACTCTATTAAAAATACACACGTACATGTTTCACATTATTTTCTATAACACTTTAAGAGAGAAAACAGATGTCCAGAATTTTAAAATTCTGGCTCATAGAAATTTCCTTTTTTTTTTGGTTATTGCCAGAGGCATGCATTCTCCAGAGAGAGAGAGAGAGAGAGAGAGCGCACCTCTTAATGGGGTGTGGTTACACCACAATCCCTTCTCTTCCATTTCTCCATCCTATCAGGCTTTGGGACATGCATACACATGTACCTTGCACCAGTGTCAGAATTTTGACCACGGTTAACCACACTGGTTTTGTTTTTTTCCCCCAGAGGTTTTTGTGACAGGGCACGGGCACTCGCCCAAGAGAGAAAGAGACAGTAAGAGAGAGAGTGAGAAATCACCCCTTGAGAGTGTGGCCATGCCACGGTCCCTTCTCCTCTGTCCTCGTCCTGCGTTACTGGGCCACGTACAGACACACCCGTGGTGTGATTTCAAACCACCAGGTCCAGGACTCAAACTGCAGTTGGCCATGTGGGAGTCCAGTGATGTAACCACTGCACCACCTGCTGGCCCCAAACCATGTGGGATCTTTAACTACCAGGCTATAGAGCCAGCTCAATTTCTAGAGAAATTTCTGTTTTTGAGAGATTTTTGCTATAGAGTACGTGCCTCACTGAAGAGAGACAGAGAGACAGAAAGTGAGAAATCATCCCCCAGAGGAGATGGCCATGCCACAATCCCTTCTCCTCCATTCTCCTCTAGGGATTTCGGGCACACACATACATGCCCCCAGTGTGAGGTTTAAGCCGCTGGGTCTGGAATGCAAACTGTGGCCAACTACGTGTGAATCTAGCAATGTAACCATTACGCCATATGTTGGTCCCTCTCACAGACATTTCTAAAAGCTTAATTTTATTGTATGTATTTTAGAGAGATTTCTGCTATAAGGCATGTGCACTCACCAGAGAGACAGAGACAGAGAGACAGAAAGTGAAATAGCACTCGATGGGCACACCACAATCCTTTCTCCTCTATTCTCCTCTCTGGATTTTGGGTGGGCACACACACATGCACCTGGTGTGAGTTTTAAGCCACCGGGTCTGGGACTTGCAATGTGGTCAACTACATGCGAGTCCAGCAACATAACCATTATGCCATCTGCTGATCCCAGCTTTTATTTTTTTTAAATAAACAAAATCTTTTTTGTTTTAAAAACATGATTCTCTCATTACATATAAATATGAACAATATTTTTGCATTTCCACTTTAGGTAAATAACTATCGTTTCTGTATTTAAAAACATTTGATTAAAATGAATTGTTCGCATGGAATTTAAAACACACCAAGTCTTCTAATTTGCTAGAGGGCCCGTGTGCTTGATGGAGAGCAACAAAGGAGAGAGACAAAGAGGGAAAGTGAGAAAGCATCCCTCGTAGGGGATGGTCATGCCACCATCCCTTCCCCTCCATTTCTCCTTTCAGGAATTTGGACATGCATGCCCACATGCCCAGTGTGTTTTTCAAGCTGCTGGGTCTGGGACTTGAACCATGAGTTTGGCTGGCCACCGGCTGGCCCACAAAAATCTTTTAAAGAGAACAAAATATTCTTTAGGTTATCTTGGTGGAAATTAAGAGAGACTCGGCCAAAGTCTTTGTAATTAGCTTACCTGTTTATACTGTGGTGATGGGGGTGCACTCTCATAATCTGTCATCTGATAACTGCGACAGGTTATTTCTCTCCCTTCTTGAGTCGAAACTTTAACTTCTATTACGACATACGTTCCACTTTTAACTCCTTCTTGCCTGAAACCAGAACAGTCACGTTTTAGCCCCATGTAGCCAATTTGATTTACGGGGTAAGGTCTTTCAGTCTATTGCTCTGTAGCATCAAATATGTAACTACATATGGACGTACTTGCTCCCTAGGTAGACAATAAATACTACCGGGGCGTTGGGTAAGTCATGATGCATTTTTGCACAGAAAAACATAGAAAACTACATCACGGCTTTCCCGATGACCTAACACCACATGAAAAGTAAGTTTAGCATTTCGATCAAAAACTCGGAGACTTAGTATTACCCTGGTATACTTCTAAACTCGAGCTCGATTTGATATATGCTCTATCTAGTTTAGTTCTAGATCTATTTATCCTGTCTAAAAACCCACTCAGGTGTAGTGATTGCCATCTTTATATCCCTCAAACACTGTACTTTAGGCTACAAATAATGACTATGTATTCCGACAGCAAGAGAATATCTACCCAGAAGGTCGAATATCATGCACGTCGGATCATCTGCGCTCAGCGTTTGCTCTTTTCTGCCAGTTTTCTTTGTATTACATGCTCTGTCATACAGCTCTGAGAGTTCATTATAAAAGGCAACAAAACATTTCTAATTCGTTGTGAAATGCTTTTATCAAGTATTACTTATTGCTTCAACTGCCATGTTAAAGAATTTTTTTTTTTTTGAGTTGCCAGAGACAGACAGAGATAGAGAGAGGGAAAAAGAACCTCTCAATGGGATACGGTCACACCACAAGCCTTTCTCCTCCATTTCTCTATCCTGTTGGGATTCTAGGCAGCTAGGCACATAGATCTGCTGTATTTTTCAAACTTCTTGGGCCAGCATTTGAACCATGGTCAGCATGTGGGATCCAGGTCCTTTAACCCCTTGGGGGGCAACCAAGGAACTGTTTTGTGTGTGTGTGTGTGAGAGAGAGAGAGAGAGAAATTTTTGCTATAGGGCATGTGCACTTGCTAGAGAGAAAGAGAGACAGACAGAGAGAAAGCAAGAAATCACCCCCTGGGGGGATGGCCATGCCGCAATTCTTTCTCCTCCATTCTCCTCTTGGGATTTTGGGCACGCACACACACGCGCCCAGTGTGAGTTTAAAGCTGCCAGGTCCAGAACTCGAACCACGGTTGATTATGTGGGAGTCCAGCAATGTAACCATTATGCTATCTGCTGGTCCCAAGGAACTGTTTTTTAAAAAGTGAATCAGATTGCTTTCGAAATCGATAAAAATATGTAACCATTACAAAAATCTTTATGCCTCTTCACAATATGAAAAACTAGGAGAAATGTTCAGAAAAGACAAACAAGTAGAGTGAAAAGTAAGGGTTTCCATCTTTACATAAGAGATTTTAAATATCCCCCACCAAATCTCAGTTAGAAAGTGTGACCTTTGTAGACTTCAGCAAACTCGTGTTATTATACCTTTTATGCTGACTCTATAAAGTATAAAGAATATGTCTGTAGTACGTGGTTTTGAAGAAGTAACACAAACATACATCTTTGCATATAATCTACTTTCTGAATTATGTTTTAATTTATAATTAGAAGCCACCTACTCATCCAGAGAACTTAAATTGCTTTTGTTCATTTTCCATACTATTCCCCACACTTCATCGCCAGGACTTTGAAAAATGGTGGCTATACCTCCATGCCAAGTTTGACTTGTTTTGCCTTGGAAATTGCCAAAGTCAAGCTTATAATCCTACAAAGGAAACCAAAGTGATATGATCAATATCCCCTTGAACCCGAATTTCCCTCCTAAAAACAAAAAGGATTTACCTTGAACTCCATGCAATTAAAACATTCAATAAACTCAGAGTTCCTTCTACACGTAAGGAGCTGTGGAAAACACAAAGATAGACAAGGACCCACATCTCAAGGACTATATTTTTTCCCCATAATTCTTTTTAAAATGAAACATATATTACATATATGTACAGCCATCTTAATATAAACAAAAGATTTAAAGAAAAATAATCCCGTAACCCCAATGCCTGAAACACTATTTTCATTTTTGCTGCGCGTTCCTAGTTATAAAATTTGTTTGCAAATTACTTCGCAGCCAATACGGGGAACTTTAAAAAGTTCAGAGAAAATGGAATTAAAGTATAGGTTTATTTTGGTGTGGAAAAAAATATTGGAATCCATGCATAATTTTTTCATAACATGCATTTCTCATTTTTTAAGAAGACTTTTACCATAGGGCATGTGTGTTTGCTGTAGAGATAGGCAGAAACAGAGAGGCAGAAAGTAAGAAATCACTCCCCCTCACCGGGGTGGGGGATGGCCACACTGCAATCCCTTCTCCTCCATTCTCCTCTCAGGATTTTGGGTATGCATGCACATGAGCCCTGTGTGTTTTTCAAAGTGATGGGTCTGAGACTCAAACTGTAGTTGACCATGTAGAACCAACTGCCTCAACCGCCAAGCCACCTGCTGGTCCTCCATGAACTTTTAGAAGACCCTTCACACATTTTCACTTAGAGACACGCTGGATGATGGCTACATGAAGGTTATAACATTCTCTCTACTTTTACATCTGTCGGGTATCCATACCAGCATTTACCACTGTGTTTGCCCTAAGGGAGCTGGCACCTAAGAGTGATTTGTATACACATGAACACTAGTATTCAGGAATTGTACTCTTCTACCTAGGATAATCCTAAGAGCAGCTAACATGGGAAAGTTATTGGGTGGTATACATTGTGCTACTATTAGCATTCTATGGATATTTCTTTTATCCTGCCATTGACTTTTTATACCCATTTTACAGCAAGAAAAACTGTGGCTTAGAAAGATTAAGCAACTTGCCTAAGATAGCATAGCTAATGAACAAGGGAGTCAGGTGACTAGTTTAGCTTCCTTCCTCACAGAGGTGGGCGATCAGGGAGTAAAAGTCCTGAGGATGATGAAAAGTCCTTACTGAGCTTGTTTGGCCTAGAAAGCTTTCTTTCCATCCTTCTGGAGTTTAGTTTCCTAATAGTAAACACATGAAGAGTTTAGACTAGATAACTCTAAGATCCCAGACAGTTTAGGAAGTAGGCTGGTCTGAGGGACTAACACCTTCGATCGGCATACTGGACCACGAGGCTCTGGCAGAACATCAGCAGATCTGATCAAAGTCACAACCCACACTAGGGTCTAGTTGTCCATCAACCCAATAGACAATTTCATTCTTTGTCTCGCTCCGCTTTTCAGTTGCTTCTGATAGAAAATAACCACCCTCTCCGGATCTGCTTTGATCTCAATTTCCTTGCCAAGTTCTAGTCCACTCCCTGATCTTTAAATGTCAGTTTCTCAGAGTTCAGTCTAAGCTCTTTTTCTACTCATTCGATGATTTGCCAAAAATAATCCCATCCCTCCAATGGCTTTGAGTACCCTCTAATACGTTAAACCTCGCACAGATTTCTCAAGTTTCAAAAAGTGCTTATCAGAGGGCCAAGCACACAGTAAGTATCGAGTCATTGGTCAGTAGTATTAGGGTGTCGGGAAAGTCATGACAGATTTTTTCTGTTTTGCTATGCAAAAATGCGTCATGACTTTGTGACTACCTAATATATATATTTTTTCTGTTCACTTGGTTGTCTAGCATTTCAAACTCAATGTGTTCAAACTGAACTTAGGGTTTTTCTCTCCCAAATCAGATTCTTTTCTTCTCTGTGAACATTGCCATCATCTGCCTGGTTGTGTCAAAAACTTGAGTTACTGAAACCAGCAGTTAGCGTAATGGCTATGTCGCTGGACTCTCATGTAGTTGACTGCAGTTCAAGTCCTGGACCCAGTGGCTTAAACTCACGCCGGGCGCGTGTGCATGCATGCCCAAGATCCCGAGAGGAGAATGAAGGAGAAGGGATTGTGGCGTGGCCATTCCCCTGGGGGGTGATTTCTCGCTTTCTGTCTCTCTCTGTCTCTGTCTTTCTGGCGAGCACACGTGCCCTGTAGCAAAAAACCTCTCAAAAAAAAAAAAAACTTGAGTTATTCTTGGTGTAATATCTCATCCCTTCATGCTCAATCAGAAAGTTTTACCCACGTTACAGCTTAAATATCTCTCAAGCCTATCTACCCTTCACTGCAGCCTCCCCGGTTCAAGGTGTTATGCATTTTACTGGGCATAAACTGCCAGAAAAATTGCCTGAGTTATCTACATCTACTCTTGTCCTCCTTCAAATCCATTTGCCATAGCAACCGGAATGAACTTTCAAAGATATAAACCTGCATTTTCATGTGTTTCAGTTCTGCAATGGATCTTCTTACTGCTCTTGAGATAAAGCCCAAAGCCTTATTTGTCCTCTGCACTTCTGTTAAGGTGTGGCCCTTCCCAATCTCCAGACTTCATGCCATGTTCCCCTTACTACACTCCAGCCGCACGGGCTGGAACATCCAGTTTCCTCTTTACTCGGGTCCTTTGCACACACGGTTCCTGCTGTTTTGTTTGCTCTCTATCTCCCCAGTTATTCAGGCCTTGGCTTAAAAGTCACATTTTCAGGTCCCCTGGTCATACCTGTACATGCCTTTGCACCTGCCTGTCTCCTTTTAAAGACTGATCAGACCTGTAAATAAATAATAAATGCGTTTGATTTCTTCCCCGGGCTCTGACTACAGCATCTGAACTCCTGTTCCACATATGGGAAATTCCCTACCATATGACTTCGGAGGTAGAGAGTATCAGAGACTGTTGTCCATTTTTGAAGGTTGAGTGGCCAGAAGTTGGTTTTCTCAGTTTTGCTGACAGTCAGGGCATGGTCCACATGGACTGGAGTTAGCCAATAAAGATATCCGCTAGAAGCTAGTGCCCAAGGATGGCAGGGGCTCCACCCTGGGTGGCGACTGACACGACTGGGTTTCAGGGACCGCAGGGAGGTAGTGCACCAGCAGCAAGGTCCAGTGCAGGGTGACGATGGCGGTGCACGGCACCACGTCCATGTTAACCGTGTGGGGCAGTGGGGCAGCAGCGGCGCCCTGGGCTGGTTCTGTCCTGTGATGTCGGCTATACTGTGGTCGCGGTGCCTCTCTTTATGTCTGCCTGTTTTGTTAGCTTTGTACGTCTGCCTTCCTGGTCATTCTATGTGCTCCCCAATAGCCTTTCAACCCATTCTTTGATTTGTTTGTTTTTGCTTTAATCAGCCAGTTTCTGCAGCTTGCAAGGCTAGCACAGATCACGTCTGCTCAGTCTGACGCTGTCAAAGGTTTTTTCTCTCCTATAGGCCAGGAGATCCTCACAGCAGACCTTGACTCAGTCGTCCCTGTACCCCAGTGTTCAGGGCTAAAGGATCCATGCTGAGTGAGTGTACTGAAGATCAATAATTCATCCAGGTTGGTTATGGTCATCCGCCACTTGACCTAGCTGAGCACGGCTGTCACTACGAGTAACATCTGGTCCCAGCTTTCAGGACTTCTCAGATGAGGGGCAAAAGCCAAGTGAATAGATTTTTGCATAGTCCTGTAACGAAGGTAATGTACAGAACAGAAAGCAAAGGAATTCCCTGACTTGGGGCAGAGACGGCTGGATGGGTGCCATAAGGGTGCCCCTAAGTTAAGGGACAAGAGAGGCATCACCTGGTGTAAATTTGTAAGAACTTTCCTCATCAACAGGTGCTACTGGGTGTCCCTGAAATATAGCTGCTACTAGAAAGGCAGAATAAATGTTAATTTTCTTTTTTTAAGAGATTTTTGCTATAGGACGTGTGCACTCACTAAAGAGATAGAAAGTGAGAAATCACTCCCTAGGGAGGATGGCCACACCATAGTCCCTTCTCCTCCATTCTCCTCTTGGGATTTTGGGGATGCAGGCACACATGCCTGGTATGAGTTTTAAGCTGCTGGGTTTGGGACTGGAACCATGCGGGAGTCCAGCAATGTAACTATTATATCATCTGCTGATCCCGATGTTAATTTCCTTAAATGATCACTTTCCAGATTAAAGAGCTGGTGTGATAATCACCAATAGGTGACAAATGATGCTTTTATTTCATTTTATTTTTGAGAGAGAGAATTTTGCTATACAGCTTGTGCGCTAGTGGGAGAGACAAAGAGTCACAGAGACAGAGAGCGAGAAACTACTCCCCAGAGGGAATGGCCATGCCACCTCCCTTCGCCTCCATTCTCCTCTTGAGATTTTGGGCATGCATGCACAGGACCCAGGCACCAGTTTCAAGCCTCAGGATCCAGGACTCCAACAAAGGTTGAGCACATGGAAGTCCAGCACCTTAACCTCGCCACTGGCAGGCAGCCAAACAAGTTTAAAAAAAAAAAATGTTTCAGGACCAGCAGTTGGTGTAATGGCTATGTCGCTGGACTCCCATGTAGTCAACCGTGGTTCCAGTCCTGGACCCAGTGGCTTAAAGTCACGCTGGGCACGTGTGCATGCGTGCCCAAGATCTCAAGAGGATGGAGGAGTAGGGATTGCTGCATGGCTATCCTCCCTGCGGGGGTGATTCCTCGCTTTCTGTCTCTGTCTGTGTGTCTTTCTGGCGAGCGCATGCGCCCTATAACAAAAACCTACGCCGGCCCCTTAAAACAAAACCCTCTAAAAAAAAAAAAAAAGTTTGGCGGCTAGTCGTGATGGCAGTACATAGGAGCCACAGGGGATGCCTGCGATGGAAACGGAGGCACCTGAACAGGGGTAGCCCCCGTGACTCTGGCTGGAAGCTGGGAGGGAGGGGGGTGCAGTACCAGGTGGGGCGACCCTGTAAGATGTGGGAGCTTTGAGGGCAGCCGGAGGGGACAGAGTTGCCTGAAGAGCGCAGCTCAGAAGGAAGCAAGCAGAGCGCCGTGAGAGCAGTGAAGAGGCGATGCCTTGCCCAGGAGCCAGGTGGGCGCGAAAACTGTGTCCTAGCCAGGAAGACTTACAGTCCTGGCTCACTCCGCCTACGCGCACCCCTTCGGGGCAAACCCGCACGGTGGCGCAGGGCCAGCAAGGGGCACTGACCTGCAGGCGGGCCACGCAGCAGAACGCGGCCGAAGGGTTTCGGAGGTGGATCCTCTCCGTCAGCAGGTTGCTGCCATAAGCGAAGTACAGAAAGCTCTCCTCTTGGCCCGGGCCGTCCTTGCAGCCCGATGTCGCCATGTCCCACAGAGCCTGTACCACCCGGAGGTCGAGAGCTAGGGGATCAGGAGCAGAAAGCGAGCTCAGCGAAGCAGAGCGGCTGGCGACCCCGGCCCACTGACCGCCGCGCCGCCGCCTCCTGGTTAGGGAGCACGCGGGAAGCGTGGGCCCGCGAGCCGCAACGAGCACTCTTCTGATTGGCTGGCGGCCGCCTCGACAGGAGTCGCCCCCTCTGATTGGCCAAGCCTCACCGCCTCCTTTCCGCCCTCTGCGGAGACTCGGAAATACTCTGTCCTGAGGCGACCCGGGGCTGGCTCCTCATTGGACACGCTCCTCTGTTGTGCCGTCATGCCCCGCCCCCTTATTTAACACTCGATCTGATTGGCGGCTGGAAAGCGCCAAGGGGGCCCGATTCGATCGGGTGGGCTCGGTCTGAGACGTGGCTGGTTTCTCACCTGCCTCTGCGTGGGAGTTCCCCGGATGTTCTTGGCCTTTAGGGAGCGCTGGTCAAACCCGAGAGGAACCAGCTGCCTTCCCTCTCTGCGCAGTCCCCCTGACCTTCCCCAGCGCCCCCCTCTGAGGAGTCGCCCCACACGACGGTTTCCGCACGCCCTTCCCCATCACCTGGGAGTCCTTCCCCTGGTTAGATCCCCACGCTGCCATCCACTAGCTAGGTGCCATTGGGCACCTCTGGACTCCGTTTTAAATTAGGGCTTATAATTTATGATCACAAGGTAATTTTTTTTTTTGAGAGGTTTTTGCTGTAGGGCACGTGCGCTCACCAGAGACAGAGAGACAGAAAGGGAGAAATCACGCCCCCCCCTCCCCCGTGAGGATGGCGGTGCCGCAATCCCTTCTCCATTCTCCTCTCACCCGCACCCGGCGTTCATGCCCAAGGTTCAGCGCTCCTTGGAGTGGCTGATGCCAGGTCAGGGACTGGGAATGAATAACATCTTTGCAACATCTTCTGCCACAAAGCAGGAAGCATTTCCTCTAAAATGGAAGTCTTTTCAAAAGGACAGGGGAGCCAGCTTAGACTACCCCTGGCCAGGTTAGAACAATTTGAGCGTCAAAAATCTCAATGACTACAAATTACAAGATGAAGGGAACCAGCAGTTAGCGTAATGGCTATGTCACTGGACTCCCACGTAGTGGACCACGGTTCGCGTCCCGGAGCCGGTGGTTTAAAACTCACGCTGGGCGCGTGTGCATGCGTGCCCAAGATCCTGAGAGGAGAATGGAGGAGAAGGGATTGCAGCGTGACCATCCCCCCTGGGGGGTGATTTCTGGCTTTCTGTCTCTATGTCTCTCTGTCTGGCGAGCGCACGCGCCCTATAGCGTAAAAACCTCTCCAAAAAAACACACAAATTACAAGATGAACAAAAACATTAAACATGTAAAAGTCATTCTTTTAATGTTTTAATTTAAATTTATTTATATTAATTCACTGTACATCATTACAACATACAAAATGAGATTTTCCATCCAGAGTACACTGTATATTGGCTCAATCAAGCACATCAACATGCATGTTAGCATCAGCAAATAATTTTCCATTTCTTGTTTCCTGTATGTTTTGCTTTTTTTCCCCATCCTTGATTCCCTATCTCTTACCCTCTGCCATCTCCCCCTCTCCTCCCACACTGTCTCTGGTATCTATGTTTGCTTTCTATATTTTCCCCCCCACATTTTATTGAGTCACTAAAGATCTTAATTAATCTAAATATTTTCATAGCAAGCACAGCTGACATATACATTTCCATGAACACAAGTACAACTTTAGGCATAAGCCTCAGTGAGTAGAATGAACATCCCATAAAGTAGCACCTAGCTGGGGCTATATGTCTTACTTCAGTCATCCAATAGGTATTTTTAATGCATTTTTTTTTTAATTTAAGAAATACAGTTTTAGGTTTTTTTTCCCCTGAAACTTTTTTTTTTTAAAACTTAATTTATATTCATTCCATAAGTATCATCGCAGCATACAAAATGTGATTTCCCATCCAGAATATACTGCAGTGGCTTAATCATACATTTTATTAACAAAAATTTTCCATTTCTAGTTTCTAGTATTTTTTTATCCCTATTTCTGACCCCCTGTCCTTTCCCACCCTCTTCTCACACTATCTCTGGTGTCTACAGTTGTCTTCCATTCCTTTCCCTCCCACATTGTATTGATCACACAATTTCTTAAATAATCTAACTACTTCAATAGCAAGTTCACTTGGTACTATTAAGAAAACCAGTTTTAACTTAAATCAAAGAAATGCAAAGGAACTTTGCTTAAAATTTAAAGCCAGGAAACAGGTTAGGATTCTGTTCAAATGGTAG